CAAGCACCAGAAAACCGCTACCACCAGGCCAACCAGGCCAGCCCGATCTCGGCCTCGATCGCCTTGATCGGCTCAAACCACACCGGTCCGGTGTTTCAAAGAGGGCGTCTCAGACATCATATTCTTTGCCATGTCTTAGTGCTTGAAGGACTTGAGGCCAGGGGGAGAGGTCGAAAGCTAGCCGAATCGCACCGGATGTACTAGTTACATAGTCGGCAAAGCATGTAGGGATGACATGTTTTGGGAGGAAGGTTGCTATGTACATACTTTGCGCTAAAGAATGTAAATGTGACATCGCTGACTGGGAAGGGTACATTGGAACAACCCGGGTGCACTCGTTGGCAGGCACGAAGATGCGTGATCGGCAAATCTGGGGGGTAAATTTACCCTCCGCTTTTGTATGCCTTGAGTCGGAAAGAGGGGTAAGCATTTCTGACATCATACGGACTGTACATACACTAGGGCGTCCGTAGTGTAGGAGAAGCACGGGTAAAAGGTATATGGAATAGAGTGTCTTGAGGAAATAGCCGGCGTATGGTTATTGCAAATCTGGGGGGTAAATTTACCCCCCGCTTATGTATGCCTTGCGCTGGAAAGAGGGGTAAGCATTTCTGGCATCACAAGGACTGTGCATACACTAGGGCGTCCGTAGTGTAGGATAAGCACGGGTAAAAGGTAGAAGGAGTAGAGTGTCTTGAGGAAATAGCCGGCTTATGGTTATGGCAAATCTGGGGGGTAAATTTACCCCCCGCTTATGTATGCCTTGAGCCGGAACGAGGGGTAAGCATCACAAGGACTGTGCATACACTAGGGCGTCCGTAGTGTAGGATAAGCACTGGTAAAAAGGATGTAAAAAGTATCAGGAATAGAGTGTCTTGAGGAAATAGCCTGTGTATGGTTATCGCAAGCCTTGGGAGTAAATTTACCACCCGCTTATGCATGCACTAGGTTAGAAATAGGGTAAAAAACTTGTAAGGGTGAAGTACAAGTCCTATGCAGCAAGCAGCAGCCAGCAGCAGCAGCAGCAGCAGCAGCCGCCTGCAGCCAGCAGCCAGCAGCAACCGCCAAGCAGCCAGCCAGCAGCACCACGCAGCAGCAGCGCAGCACCAAGCCGCAGCAGCAGCAGCAGCAGCAGCACCACCGGCAGCAAGCAGCAAGCAGCAGCAGCAGCAGCGGCGTCGTCAGCAACAGCAGCAGCAGCACCAAGCCGCAACAAGTAGCAAAGCATGAACTACCTCAAATGATCTCAAATATACACGCAACTCATTATCATTATACCTATCAGTTTGTTAACTTCTGCATTGAATGAGCCACTCGAACCAGCAAAACGACGCCAACCCTGGACGGAGGCTGAAGGAACGACGTAGCATGGAGGTGAAATGGAGCGTGCTCACCGTAGGACATGCCTTGACCAAGGATTGTAGATGCAAACAATTGCACAAACATATGCACACCTTGCCGCTGTCTGAACACCAGCAGAGCTATCACGCAATTCATTCAGTGGAATGGTGGTATGCACCACAACAATAAGCGAAGCGGCGCAGCTGGGAGTTGAACCGCGGGGGGGGGGGGGGTAGCTTGATATATCAATCTTTAAGGCACGCAGCCCCTCCCACCACAACATTGCTAAAGCAAAGAAGAACTCAGCTAGCATGCTAGCTTTCGTGATTACAGGGATCATGATTGGAATTGGAACTTGTACTGTTTCTTTGCAATTCTAGGGCACTGTTCATATCACAGCGATGGTCCACCTTTAAATGATCACGTTTTTGGATTTTTCCCGTGAAAGGTGGTCACGGTCACAGTTCAGCAGCGCAGAAAGCCCTATACGGCCTAATACGTATTGTAAGGTAGAGGGGCCCTCAAGCAGGTCAACTGTGATGCAAAGAAACGCATCTTCAAATTCTGCCCCTACTAATAGCGATCCCCAGGCATCCCCCATCTGGATCGCTCCTTGGCTGGGGTGCGTGCCATCTACCCCTCCGCACACCCACCAGCCGATCTGCTGCACACTCGGCGTTAGATGATTCCAACAACCCATCGAAAGCCCAAACCCATTGTGGTCCCCTAATCGATTAGAAAAGCGGTTTCCAGTACCCAAACACGACTAATGGGACTGCCATGACGGACTGCCGAGAAACGGCCAGGGGTGGTACCAGGTTGGGGTCTTTCTGGGGCGGCAGTCCTATGGCAGTCCCATGTGCCGTGTCTGGGATACAATCTGCTTGTCCAAAAGAGACGCACGAAACTGAAAACCCAAGCAGCTGCGAACACGCCCCAGCGCTCGTCCGGAGAGTCGCCTCGGCCAGGTGTCATCCACGACCCGTTTGGGTGGGACTGGGGTGGGTGCCATTGTCGGGTCCTGCCGGCCTGCCAAGGTACAACTGGATCCCTAAAGCTGCAGGTAGTGTTGTTCACGTCGGTGGCAGCAGCTGAAAGGCGGCCAGGTCCACTTGGCCGCCACTTGGTGGTGAGTTCACCTGATCTTGCTCAGTTTCCCTATAGGTAAGGAAGGTTATCTGTTCACACATAAACCATCATAAACCAATCCCTGAACAAAAGGCTTGAACAAGTGATCCACATGAGTTGATGGGCAGGTGTTCACTCCCCGGACCGGTGGTTCCACGGCACTGCGGGCGCCGCTTCCTCCCCCGGCCTCCATCCCCATCGCTTTGAAACACGAACTGTGCCGTGTTGGAGGGCATCACGAAGCTGCTCCTGTCAAGCTCCAGTCAGCGAGCACTCCGCTCAGCTCGTGGAAACTAACTGGGTGGCTTAAGTAGTTGACTCCAGGCCAAGGCGATGTGTTCGATGTTTTTTTTCTCCACACCCCTTGTGACACATTTGTTGCTCGGACTGCCAGCCCTTTTGTTCACTCACTTGTGACATCTTTGACACCTATGGCACCCCCATCAATCCCTTCCAATGATTTTCTCCTCCTTTTCCCGGCCCCGGGCCAACCGTCCAGCTTCGCTCTTTCCCGCAGAAGAACTCTTGAGGCTCTGCATTGGCGGGTTCCTGGGGCGTCCAAAACCCCGGGGCGGTGTGGCGACTTGACTCATGGCACCTCAAGAAGCGTTGACCGAACATGAACAGAATATATCAGAATATATAGAGATCTCTTGTAGCTGCCTCATGTGGGTCGAATGGGCATCCACTGATCGAATGGGCATGTTGTGGATGCGACACACTTCGTTCGTCGAGCGTCTCAGGCTTGAGCGTGTCTGCAGGGTGAACAGAATGGACTACACCAGGGATTACGGGTCCCGGCCCTTGTCCCACAGCCACATCGAAATCATGACATCTTCCAAGGGCGGGGAAAAAGAGGAGGCAACCCCCAAGTAACAAGTGCCCTAAAGAAACCAACCTGGGCTAAAGGCCCACTTCCCTTTGGTTGGTGGACCGTCTCGAGCGCTAAAAGCCCTTCAACCTCACTTTGACTGACTCTAAAAAAGGGTTTTCGCTTTTTTGTGCCTTTTGCAGGTTCCTCCAGTCCGAATTCTACTTGTGACCTCCTGGGTTGCTCTCCTTTCCTTCAACATGGGAGGATTGATCCCCACCAGGTACCGCCGCTGGAGTGGTGGAAGCTCTTGAGACAATGGATGGATGGTTTCCACCAAAAAGCCGGACGTCTGGAATGATCACGCCGCTACTCGCGCTCGACCTGGTTGAAATATTCAAGGCACCAGCATGAGGGTGAGATTTGGAATGGTGCGGATCAGCTCGGGGTCCTCCAATACCTCAGTTTGCAAGAGTTGGGTAATCTTTCATTTCGGGCGAACCTCTTCAGGGTTAACCTATTACAATGTTAACCTGGTTCCAACATTTTGACAGGGCACGGAAACCCCACGGCTAGAAAAGGGCAAATATATAAATAAGGTCTTAAAATGATCTAAGAAAAGAGCTTGAGAGCTGTGCTCCGAGAATAGTCTGTATAGCCTAGGTCCTGGGCCCACAAAACAACCCGTGACAAGTAACACAGCCCGTGACAGTTTGAACATAAACCGCAAAACACTACAAAATAAATTATGAATAACGAAAGTGTTGTACAGGTTCTGCGGGTCCTCCTCTGGTCTGTTCGATGGGGGCAGTGAAAAAGCATGAAAAAGCCGCCGATTGGACTAGTCCTGACCCAGGAAAACGCGCACAGCATGGACAAAGCAGCTGCCCAGGAAGCTTGTGAAAAAAACAAACATATTCACACACTGGCCACACCCCTAGTTTTGTGTGAAAATGAACGTGAGGAGTAATGCACAAAAACAATGGTGAAATGCAACTACTGTACATGCGTATGGATGGAAGAGCATCCAAGTGGTTCGAAGGCAATTCCAATCATGTATAAATAGGCTCTGAAGGCAGGGTGACTTCATCAGATCCGTCTTTTGAGGGCCTTACTCAGGCATTCACCGGTTAGGGGAGTTAGGGAAAATAACCAATCACCTTAAGCAAAACCAGGGCCATCCTTCCTTCAGCTGCTCAACTGCCAAACATGCCAACCATTCAGGACCATCCCTTCTGGCTGTCGGACTACGCTACTCTACCCGGCGATTGATCCATTGGACGCCCGGACCATATGCCGCAGTTACAGCATCTCAACCGGATTTCAATCGGTAGCTACTTTTCTGCCATCCCAAGGGTGCCGGGTATTGGTAGGTGTATGTGTGTGTATGTGTGTGCGGCTTGGCACTGGGCAGCCGGGCCTTTTGCGGCGTCAAGTGATGCAGGAGATCTTTGTTTTCGCGGCGGCTGAAGGTCCTTAGGAACTCACGTGCGCAGAAAAGCACGAGCAAAGCACGTGGGCTCAGAAAGCTGATTCTAGCTTCTGGTGTGCAAGATCTGGCCACCTTCAAAAAAAACAGTAGTTGGTCTTGCGACCGGAAAACAAACCGCACGGTACCTTGGATTGGTTCTAGGTCGCTTGCCTAGGTCGCACTTCCAACCAGTGCAGCACAAGTCCAAAACCATCAAACATCATATCGCTATGCCATGTAGTGCTCTCCTTAATTGCTCCCACTTCCACTTCCTCCCTCCACGCGCCGTCCGCACCCGCCACTCACCGGCCCCAGCGGCTCGTGCAGGCTCACGTGCCAGCCCGTCCGGACGCCAGCGTCGCGCGCGGGGCCCTTCTCCGTCATGTCGGCGATGGAGAGAACGCCCCCTGAAGGTCCCGACGCAGGGCTCCACGTTGGGCGGCCGTTGCGGTGTGCGGTGTGTGGTGCGTGGGTGCAGGTGCAGGTGCTGCTGCGAGGTGCAGGTGGGCCGGGCCACCAACCCGAAATCGGGATCTTGAAGAAGTCCAGGGGTCAACCGTGGGGACCATTTCGGTCAATTGGCTCTTGGGTCAGCCTGCCAAATTGCCAAAGCTAGCTATGTTCCAGTCGAAGAAGCCAGTCTTAGCTTCGGTCTTTGCGACGCCGACCCCAAGCATTCCATGTTAGGTTTTTTATTGAGATCTGCTGCGCTACAGCACTATCATGTGCTACAGCAGCCGCTCCTGCAGTGATGTCCTTTTATGGAGGGGTCAGTCTGCTTGCTATAAAAACATAGTCATAGACCTGTTGCTTGCTCACTTGGGGAACCCCCCTCTATGAATCAACCAAGCAATAGTCAGCAAAAGGCCAACCTCTATGGCCCCATGGAAGGGCCCCATGGAGCCCGATGCATGGATCTCTCTTTGCGACCCACGCGGCCACTGCTGGCAAGGGCCAAGATCTCATCCGAGACGCGCTTCGCCTGGCGCGAGACGCGTTTTTCCGATTCGGAGCCCACTGCAGGGTCGTCAAGTTGTAGAAGTGAGGTGAAAGAACATCAAATCTGGTAGGGTAATTGTTTCTGGTGTGTAGTAGATATATCGTTGGATCTTGCAAACTTATTCCTCCAATTCTGCCCAATCTATATAGCTGAAGATTGGCGCATATTGGCACTGCGGCACGGTAAGTCTTCCCCCAACTCTCCACGTGTGTTTTCTCTAAGTCCCGTCATTGGCATCCACCAATATATAATCGGATCTTATTCACTTGCATCACCGGGCAAAAACCACCGAACCAAAAAGAATTCGACGAAGCTTGCAGTACTAGAGTATATCAATTTTGAGTCTTGGAATAATTTTTGTCTTACACTTCGGGTCCCACAGTTCCGCAACAAACTGAATCCTCGACGATGGGACAAACGTGCGGAGAACAAACAAATGCCCTAAAACCGGGCCTTGTAGCTCACAGCGCAGCTGGGAAGCAGCTGGAAGTCCAAGCCATTGTAGAAGACCAGAGTTCTGAGAATCGATGGAGTTCTCTTCAGTTCGGGGCGATTCTGCGGAGCACCAAGCTGGTCTGCAGAACATGTCAAGGTATATAAATGGCAAAAACCTGTCCATGTGTTTTAAATTAAAGAAAACATTGATCAAGAGACCGACCATTTGCCCAAATGGTTGTGTGTGGGTTTTTCGAGTCTCCACCCCGCTTTTGCTTGCTTGGCGAGATCCTATCGGAAAGAGCCTCTCACCGGTGTGAGATGACAAGTACCTACGAATCATGGCAAACAAACCTGAAACAAACAGGGCTTTGTAATGGAAAATGGCACTTCTTTGGCCATGCCATGCCACCAACGGCATCACTTCTGTGGTTTTTTTCCCCACCGATGGCGACCGCACAAAGGGCCCAAGGCCAAAGCCAATGAAGGGGTCGGACCCAACCTCTTCGCAGGGTCCAGGCCCTTAAAACCCGAGTGTTTGAGGGATTTTGAGGGCCTGCAGTTTTGGTGTCAGAGTATTCTCGCCAAAAGCTCCTCTGTGATGGTTGATGGTCCTCGTTGGTTGTTTCCCACTGGATACCCCCCGTGTTTCCACACCCAGACCTTCCACATGAGCCAAGCACACCACAAACGCGGCGCTTGGAAGGCCCAGCCGGCCAGGCCCAGCCCAGCCGCTCAGCCCGAGGGGTGAGCCCCGGTCGATGAATTTTTTGCCCAGGTGACATGTTCTTCACATCTCTCAACGCCTCCAAGCGCTTCTTAAAACCTTCGATGTTCTCCGCGATCCTTGGAGAAGCACGTGTGACTTTCAGCTTGGCACGCCAGGGGGGGATCACACCACCGGTTAATCCTGTTCATTTTTTGTAACTTTTAGTGGGGAAAACTATGGAAAACTAATCCCCCAAAGTTTGGTTAGGCGGGCGATCCAGGTCAGAAATTGGCTCCCTGAATTCAATGAACAACGCTCCGTCCTACTCGTGAGCTCTTAACAATGCACAGAACTTTCTTCTTCAACTTCTAGCACTAGAAATTAGATGGCATTCAATCCCCAGAAGGTTGTTTATATGGACCCACATCTAAAGGACATCTTGGGGTTTGTGCGTCTACTCTAACATGTAATTATATATGTTTTTTTCCACTTCCATCCAACACATGGGACAACAACTAACAACCCCAACAACGTGCTGCACAGCTCTACGCGCCCATCCACCAAGCCCATCCGCTCCCGGCTCGACCTATCTACGCGCTCCACTCTGCGCACCGCTCTACGTCGCACCGCACCGGACATGCGCCGCTCGGCGCCGCTCGGCGGCTTCGACTGCGCCGCGGCGCTGCGTGAGATTCATGGGCACCTCTCCAAGGTCCTCGCCCGTCAAGTCTTTGAAGGCCTTCTGCCTTGGGAACGTGTCCGAGACGCGGTGAACGTGGAGGTCGGGAGCTGTGGTGGAGACCCTGGGTCGATGCGTTGGGTGGAAAGAGCCGAGTGAGAAGGAGTTGAAAACAGCGAAGGTGGTGAGGTTGGCCCCTCCGGCGCCAGGAGAAGGTCTACACTCCCTGAAAATCATGGTTACGTGGATGGCACTAGCTGCTTGGTATTTGGAACACGATCCCTCCAAATACCAAGTTCGGGGCCATGCCATCCACTTCCAATGATTTCAGGGAGTGTGTGTTTTGAGATGCTTCTTTCGTCGACAAAGGAAGCACATTCAGGATTCTATAGGACTTCAAGGTCGCTGTGACAACAATTGGCGCAAAGAAACAAGCTGTCCCACCCTCTGCGCCCGAACTATCCCAAACCATCCGTGTATATAAGAAATGCATTAGTAGGGTGATAAATGGTGCAAATATACCCGTATGTAACTTAACTATGAATGGTCTGGGTCCAACAAATTGGTGCTGAGTGATTGCGCAACCCCTTCGCAGGAATGGAGGTTCCTATAGCCTCTTGTAGCGGCGCCGTCCGGTGTCCACAGCCAAGGCTCTTGATCAGGTGGATCACATCCTCAAACGTGAGACGTGAAATAGGAAGCACAGAAATCAGAAGGTGCAACAAACGGAGCTCTCTAGACTCGACAGAGAGGTTGTTGAATCAGTCTAGTGAATAAGCCTTATTTGCCGAACTTCCATATGTATCTCTGAAACATGTTTGGTCTCATGGAATTTGAGGGTGATACGTGTCTTGTTTCTGGCCTTGATTTCAGGGAAGCGAGGTGTGAGGAAAAAAACAAGCCCTCCAATTAGATCTAATTAGTATTATCAAACTTCAATAGGCACACACACACTCTCTCTCTCTCTCTGTTTTTGGTTTTCTGAATGTATTCCTCACGGCAAACCCAGCAGAGGAGAAGGACCTCAACTAATTTTCACGCCACTATATAATGGTTAAACCACCCAACCACAACCAAACCAACAAAAACATCCAAAAACTACCCAAGCCCAAGCCCAAGCTCCCCCCGCTCCACTCTCCAACCCTGGTTCCCTCCTCTCCAGAGAAGCCAAGGGTCTACGAACCATCCGGTGAAGACGCCCTTCAGCTGCGCGGGCCCTCCCGGCGTCGTGAATCCAGCGATGCTGAAGGATGACAAGGGACAAGCCTGGCGAGCAAGACACGGAGTCGGCCCGGTGGAGTCGGCCAGGCGCAGGGCAGGCGCGGGAGGAGCCCCTCTAAGGTCGAACGAAGAGCGCCCTCCCAGGTGCAGAGATCGTCCAGCCGTACAGACCAGGGTCCCACAGACTGGTCTCTCAACCTCTCTTTTTTCTGCTTCCAAGGCGGTTTGGGATTGGAGGGTTTACTGTTGATTTTTTTCCAACATATAGAAAGATATAGATCATGAATGAATGAACATGAATGATCATAAATCATTCATGATATATGCACCAAAGACCCTGGCATTTTGTTGGAAAAGGGGGTAGGTGGTCGTTTCCTCGACTTTACATTCTGCTCCTTTGTGGGACCACTTCTGGTATGGAGAACCGGCATAGAACCGGCATAGAACCGTTTGCTACATGTGTAGCTCAGTCTGGAGACCAAACCGCCAGGCGTTCCGCTCCCCTGCTGAGCGGCTGGGTGTGTCTCCCTGGAATTGGATGCCCAAAAACCGAAGACCCCACCGTGTGTCGCCAACCTCATCGGATCCCCCCCCCAAAAGAACCAAACATCATGCGGGATTAAGTCTGCAGTGATGTGCAGGTGTATGGGTGGAGGGCCGCCTCTGAGGACCCCAACTGAGGACCCAACTGAGAAAAAAAGAAGACCAATCAATCCCAAACACGACACGTCTGGGACTGGACTAGGACTGCCGGCCCCAGACAGATCCCCCCTGGCACCACCCCAACTGATCGGCAGATCTTCCAGTCCCAGACAGGTCGTGTATGGGAATGCGATGCCCTGGTTCCGCAGCGATGCGCTGGCGCTGCGCTTACTCTCTTGTTACACGTCCACCTGTTGGGGGAGTCCTGGGTCAAAGCGAAGAGGTTTAGCCCCCAAAAAGGAAACTGGTGGAGCAAATCACGAGGTTATCCAGTGAATGTCCTTTTCCTGAGCCCTAGAGGTCCAACATGGTCAAAGATCGACTGGAACCAACTATCTACTCAATGAGGAAAAGGACCAGATTTTTACTGGCTCAGACTGGACCTGTTGTCATTGTGGATCCAGTTCGTCCTGCATGCCCTAATGACACTCCCTGAGGCACTGGCTCACTCCAACACCAGTCATACCCACCCGAAAACACAAAACATGTCCCACAAAAAGGACGGGGATTCACTCATCCTTCGGGACAAATCACCAGCTCCCTCCGCCTTACTGGGCCGGGGCAAACGGCTGCGGTTCATACCGACAGGCAGGACCGGCCGCTGGCGTCGGTCGACGGAATGAAACGTTCATCCAAAGGAGCCAAACAAACTCAAGGGTTCATGAGTTCATGTCCTCATTCCCTCCAAGCACCAGTCAGCAATTTGGGGACCAACAGTTTTTTTTTCTGCATACTAATGGATGGAGGGTCAAATGGCACAATGCCCCAAATATGTATATATATATATATAGACCCCCATCTAAAATCACATTTGGGGGGTGCTGGTGCCATCTACTCTGAAACTGGTGTCCCACTTGACGATTTGGGATTGAACATGATTTTGCCTCGTTGAAGGTGAAACCGGAAATCTCCTCGCCGACGGTCTGGTCGTACCTCGCCCGTTTCGCGGGAATGGGACTGAGGGCCGCGCGGTTTAGGCCTAGCGGCTTCATTTCAGCTGATGCCAACAGAGGTTAAACGACCTTATAGGACCCGTAACCTGGGGCACCTATAGGATAGTCTATAGGTTCTTCAACCTCTGCTGATGTCACACTTTGAACTAATCATATCTCCAAATTCCCCAACTGCCGAACACCACCCTGACTGCTTCATCCAGCATCATGTCAGAAAGAGATCCTGTCAATTCCCTTCGTGCTCAGGGCGTTAGACACCCGTTTCGCGATCTAAAATCACTGGAGGCCGTGGCACTTGACGCGGATGACCTTCTTCTCTTGAGCGCAGGTGGCAGTGCAGTGTCTCCCTTCCGCTGCATCCATCCACTCCCCTGAGCGCTTGGGGCTCGCCATCGCGGAGGAAACGCGACAAACAAAGCTCCAGCTTGGAGCGTGGAGTTTCAGGTGCCAACCCGTAACCGGCGGTCCGGGTTTTTCCTATTAATATGGATCCTCAGAACTAGGGTTTTGGAGGCTTCACCAACATGTACCCTAGGCTTCCAACAAACCATTAACTTAATATGCTTTACCGAATCAACTAAGGATTTTACACTACAAAAACCAGGTCAACCATTTTTTTTAATGGTCTTGGAAGTCTAGGGTGTATGGCAGTTGGTTCGGAGCCAAATGGGTCGCTTTGGGAGAAGCAGACTTGCTCCTCGTGCACCGCACGCCGTCTTGATGTCCACAACACTTGTGCGGCATTGCAGATCGAAATGGGAGATTGGCTTAGGAGAAGAAACTTGAACTGAAATGCTTTAGTAGGGCGAACTTGCATAGTTTGGAAGATATTGATGGAGCACAAGCAGGATGTTGCTTTCATCAGTTCATTCTGCCGTGCAACACCTGTTGAATAGTCAAACACATCAAAGCAATTTCAAGCGGAGCTTTTCTTGTTCACACTAGCATGACCTGAGGCCATTTCACCACAGTTCACAACAGTGACCTGACGCGGAAACGCTGTCGCCATAGCATCGCCGAAGGCGGGTTGTAAAGGAGTTGTGATGGCGAAAACCGCTGTCTGCCTTTTGAGCGGCTGAAGCAGCCGCAAATCTCAGTCTCATCATTGTCGATGTTGACAATCCTCAACTGATTGTCAAAGCAACAAACAAAGGAAACACGCACACACAAAGAGAACACAAGAGCGCGCGCACACGCACACACACACACACATTCACACAAGGTATTCATTTAGCCCGTGTCCGCTCACCCAGCAATGGTCGATAGTGAAGGCCGCAGGTAAGTAGTTACCAGTGATACGACGTGATGACGAGTGATGATTGCTGTTGATCTGTTGGACGTTGGATGCACCCATTGTGCTCAAATAGCTGGGGGTTTCATGGCGCGTGCTGTTCAGCACATCCCCACCGGTCTGTGGAAGTGGCCCGGTTTGGTCTGTCTGCAGGTCTATGGGTCGAAGTGGAGACATGTGGAGAACCTTCCCCCCCAAATCTACCTGGTCTGAGGCTGTTAGACACAGCTTGCAGGTTAGGCATCTGCAGGCTGAACAAAACCAGAGTCCACGATTCGATGAGTCGATGTGAGTCATGTGACCTACCCAGACGCTCCAAACAGCCCTTGGTCCCTCAAAACCTAGGGAATTGAGACCCCAGACCCCTCCAGAAGATTCGGGTCCGACCCCTCCAGGGTCGCGTCTGGGTAGGCATGTCAAGCCAGCCGTGAAAAGGCATGCCGACGGATGTTTTCCAAGGCATGTCGCCGGTGACGGATCACACGGATCGCGCAGGGGAGAGACCCGAACGTCTGAACCACCTTCTCCGTGACGAAGGCAGCACGTGGAAGGAGCTTCTCCACGCAGCTCTGGGAGGAGCTATAGTGCTATAGTACAAGTAATTTATTTGTTTAAGGCATGGTCAACTCAACAACCCCAAGCGCTTCATGTATGGGCCAGAGGACACCAAAAACACACCAGGAGGACAAGACAAGAACACAGGGCTTGCAAGCGTGGCAGGAGGACACCAACAAGGACACAGGGGATCGAAGTGGCTAAAGGACAGCAGGAGCACACCAAGAAGACAAGAGAAAGGACTTAAGGCTCGAGCGCCGCCAAAGACAGAAGGACACAGGGATAAGAGAAGGACACAGGGCTTGCAGGACAGGAGGACCAAAGGAGGACACCAGGTTGGTGCTGGACATGCTTCGCTTAACCGACGCTTTCGGGGCTCCCAGATCGTCCAAGGCTCCATTTCCCACCCTCCGCCTGACCAGCCATCGTGCCATGGACCTGAAGCGAAGCCGCGGAGTTCCGACCAGGAAACATCTGCACCAACCGGACCCCCGGACGGTCCCGTTATGTGACAGCATGGTCTGGAAGTTTCGTTGACGTCAAGTTGACCTCTGGAACCTTCAGATTCGGATTGATTTGTTTGCTTTCCTCTACCAACACCACTGGGACACCTTCATCTACCGCTGTCGAGTGAGCCGGCTCCCTTTAAGTGGTTTCAGGGGTAAGAGCTGGACAACCCCGGCGATGCAGCTATATACATATAAATGAATGCTACAACAAGGGTTATATATAAGGGTTTCAACTTTTCATGTTGTGAGTTCGAACAGTTCAAACCCACCTGGTGTTACATCTGGCATTCTCCATGCATATGTTTCGTCCTGTTCGACACCATGACGCCCACCTGGTCCGTGCCGGAGATGGCCCTCAAGTGGGCGCGAGCACCCACGCCAGCCAAGCTCTTGCTCAAGCCACCTGCCCGCTGCGGCAGGCTGGGGACATTCAACTCGTATCTTTGAGAGGTCAAAAGTGTCTGAACACTTGGCATGGTTGGGTGGAGGAATGCCTTCAGGACCATAAGTGTCCTGTCAGACTCTGTCAGTTCTTGTGTGTGTGAAAGGATGGAACATGGATGAACATCTTCAAAAAAAAGATTTAAACAGTAAAAGTATATCTGAACTTTCCGCCCTAAGAATCCAGGCCCTCAAAGAGATAGGGTTTGGTTCGGGCCCGGACCGCTGCCAAGGTGTCGGGTCCGACCCCTGCGTCCAAGGATTCTTAGGGCACTAGAGTTACTAGAGTGTCACCAACTTCCCCCAAAGGGCTAGAGACGGCTGAACAAGGGAACACGGGTGGAATAGGCGAATCAATTGGACCTGGATACTCGCCATGCCATGCCCAAGTCATCGCCAAATACACCACTCTGATGAAGCCATTTCCAGAGAAAAAAAACACACACAGCGCATCATGTGTTTGCACGGCTGGGTGCAAATCATAGAGACACAAGTATACTATTGTATGTAATTCATATATGCTATAGCTTGCTTTGACCCCCCAACCACCCCAACATCTTGAGGCGTATCGCTATTCCATACATGACCTGATCATCTGGAGCATTTTTTTTGGGGGGTCATGGGAACCACCCAAAAAGAAACACCTATAGAGATTTGCTGCGGACCTGCGGACCGCGGACCGGTCCTCTCCAGACCGAGCGGGGAACCTGCCAACGCTTTGAAGGTGGTGCAATCGTCCAAGGTCACCGAGCGTGGGTCGAAGGTCACCCGCAGCTTCGTGGCGTTGGGGAGCGACACGTCCTCCGCACGCGGCGTTATGGAGCGTTGCGGAGCGGAGGTGAGCGGCGTGGAGCGAAGCGAAACACGCAGGAACCGGGTTGAGATGTATCTTGAATTGGGTTTGTATGACATGTCATTTACCAACTTAGTAGATTGATCCTCAGAAGGTACTTAGACCACCCACCCCAAACATATATTACAGCTTCTCGGCTGGCATTTGGAGCCCTAGGGAAAGAATCTGGCGACCCTAGCGGCCCCAGCATGAGCATGGCTCACTCAGAGTCGTGTTCTATCATTGAGACCTTCATGTCTTCACACGGTTATGTCTTTCGGCCAAGTCACCTTGCGTGTGCATTACAGTGTGCAAGCAAGCAGTCAAAAGCACGGCCAACCGTCGTGAAAACCACTGCCCCACCGTGGGATGTCAGGACCCTGGTTGGGTTGACCATCGAAAACGAACAGAATCGATTGCCCAACATGGTCAACCTACCAGGATGGTAGGGGCTCCAGGTTTTGACCAACAACCATGTGCCACCCTTCAAGACCAACCCTTGAGAAGCAGCTCTTCCTCCCACCCCCGCTCGCGCCCGCGCGTTTCGAAGGCGTCCCAGTGGCTCGCGTCCAGCTATGCGTCTTGGCGGGATAAGGGTGCGGCGTCTCCACGATGACGGCATCCTTCATCCTCTTCCCTGCGTGCAGGTGGGGAAGGCAGCCCACGTGCAGGTTTTTCAGGACCCGAGGTCCTTCGACTATCCCAGGACCCGGACCTCCAGAAAAAGGTCCGGGTCCGACTCGTTCAGGTCACTGAACCTCCTGGAAGGTGAAGATCCCCCAAGATCGTGAAACACTTGGGGTGAACTGAAGGTGAGCTGTTGTGGCCATCGACCTGTGGAGCCGAATCTATATCGATCAAGCGATCTGAAACCGAGCTGCTCATCTGTTTTTTTGCAGCATAAAGCTTGGGCCAAACTACGGACCGTGTTTTTTTTACATGAGACATCTCCACTCTTTTGCATCAAGAAACCTTCATCTGCGCTAGCTGTTGGACATGTTGGAAGTCTGCTTTGAGCCGTTGTAACCAGGGAGCCTTTATAAGTTCTATAGGAGCTTCAGTCCTGGTTGGCATGAGTGCTGTGCTAGGCCATTTCCTGAACTCATTTGTGATGATTGGGTCTGCCCGCGCTGTCTCCAACTATGCGAAAAAGAATGTATACAGGAACCAAGTCAGGTGTATATATATCTACCTGTACGAGTACCTCCTACTCAAAGATACTCCCACTCGACCATTCTCATCTTCTGCTGGTTTACTGACTCAGTAGTATCACAATTCAGAACCACGACTGATCCTCCAGCCGCCCGCCTGACAAAATCTCTTCGTGTTTCTTTTGCACCTCAGTTTTTGCTTATATAGACCCCCGAATAATTAGATGGAAAAGTAATCCCCACTCGAACATGTATTGGAAACTATTCCATCCACTTGGGGCTCACTATAGGCTCCTCGGCCCCACTTGCAAAGGCCTCAGCCTGTGAGCAAAGCGGACGCTGCTTCCGCCCGCGGACGGAGCATGATCTGGGACAGGCTCCGTTGGGCCAAAACTCCTATGGCACGCGTGAAGCGTCTAAAAAGACCCAGCAGCACTGGGATGAGGAACCTGGAAACCCGTCGTAAAAACCAAGTTGATTTGGGACCCCTGAGTGGGGCCGGCACACTCTCGTCCTTCTCTACAACCGGCGCCTCACGGACACGTTTCAGCTGTGGCACGCATAGGATCCAGAAATCCTCGGCT